CTTTTCACGGCGCATCTTTTAAGAAAAAATTCAAGATTTTATCATCTACCTAAGCCGAGATATAGACATTTTGACAGACCCAGAATACAGGAAAATTTCGAAAATAGTACATGACAGTGTTGTTCTAGGCTCTCATCCATAGTACAAGCAATAGACCTGAAACTTTGCAGTTATATAGTACCACATATGTACAACAATCTACCAAAGTTTCAGCGAATTTGCTTTTGTAGAATGCGAGAACCGTGAATTCTTAAAATCGTTTCAGAACTTCTGGGACACCCTTTATATATATATAAGTTCGATAGCTCGTCAATCATTCTGAGAAATATATGAAGAATAAATGATGGAATGAAAAACATTACAATGTTCGATTCAAAAAGTACTATACTTGATTTATATCATTACGATGAAATTTAATTCCATGTAATGTTTATTAAGTTATGATCAACATGAAATATATAATCATATCGATAGATATTATTATTATTGAAAAGTCAAGGATAAATGCTAAGACAAAATTTCCAACATCATTCTTGTTTTTACCTTTTGATTTATAATACGGTAAGATTTTCTAAGATGAAATTTCATTATAATCTTTTATTTAATAGTTCTGACAAATTATGACTAATATGACTCAATAATCAACAAGAATTATTGATCCACAATGTGAACTTATTACTATCGAATCAAATCAATAATTTCACAATTCTCATGTTTTAATATTAGTTATGACATATCCTAAGTAAGAGAACTACGATTTATACAAGATAATTAAATTTTATGTAAAAATCGACAATGTTTGATTCTTTCATTTGCTTTTGCATATGATCATTCATTATTACAAATTATTAGTAGAATTATTTTTTAATTGATTATATCTTTTAAAGTAATATTCGATTGATAATGAATCATGCAAAATGATTCATTCGTCACTCTCACTAACAAAAACACAAAACCATCAACAGTCCGCGGTAGATGTTTTTGCAATTGAAGATACATATTCAGATTAATATGTGTTTGATAAAGTCGCTTTTATTGATATCATCTTTTACTATTCATCATCACTTTATTTTCTTTTAGTAGAAGAACAGTAAACATATTATATTATGATCACCGTTCGATATCAGATTTCTTTTCTTTTCGTCATCGACCACAGAAAGAAAAATATGTGTGTATGTTCCTACGAGAAACAAATCGTTTTTATCAACAATATAATAAACAGGTGTTATAACAGAATACAGGAAAAAACTTATAAATGCTAATTTATATCTTTTATGCAAGTCTATAAAAACAATTTTTTCATTATTGAATTATTATCATTTGATAACAATCTATTTGCACACGAGACATTTTCACACATAAATACTCATTTGAGGGTTGTTGCCACCAATTATAGAAGGTACTCTCATTATGTTCTGTTACGTATGTGCATCTATTTCTTCTTTCCTACTTATCGTAAATAATATAATGTTAAAACCCCACTTATTTTTCAAGGACGGGAAGTTTTTTTTTTCTATTTTCGATCGGATGCGAACGTGAACGTCACCAGACGAAAAGAAAAAAATATTAAAACAAAAAGTCGCACATGAGAAGCTACAACGTATAAAATCGACCAGCTAAGAAACAAAAACAATATTTAATATATATATATGCGTTGTTTAGTTGCTTCATCAGACAAGAGTGGAAGCAAACTTAGTACACCCTTCACAAATTAGTTCTCCACTAACGTTGTTTCAACTTAAGGGGGCAAACGAAATGTGGAATACAAAAGAACGTCAAATAGAAATGTGCAAAGTGTACACCGAGAGAAAAAAAGAAAGAGAAAGGCAAGTATATGAATACTGAAACAAGATGAAAGAGAAAAGGAGATGTTGACAATAATCACTCTATTTTTGCCTGAGTAAACCTTCTTTGTGTAACAAGAAAGATAAAAACACCCGTGCATTCGAGAAACAAGGTGGTACCACAAAACAAACGTCATATACATTCTCTCTCTCTTTTTTTTTTCTTAACTACTAGTAGCTGCCTTATAGAAGGTATGTACAATACAGAGAAGATAAAAGGACAAAAAGAAAAAAAATCACAATCGATTAAGGCGATGGAGAGATAAAAAAAACGAGAAAATCAGAAGCTATTCAATTAATTTGCGTCAAATTTCTTTTCCTTTTCTCTTATATATAGTTGTATTTTCTTTTCAAACAACCATAACCACAGTTTTTTATATAGTAAACATTACCCGCACCATTTGCTTTATCATATACTGTTATACTTATGTTTTTAGTTTATTGATTATTTATTGTCATTGATTCAATGCCGACAGTAATCGATATTGTTATTTGTATTGATTACACATCATCAATAATGTCCTATTTTGATCAAATTCGTATAATGAGTTTAGTTATTTGTGCAGTGGCATTAACAAATCAAGATGGTGTTCGTATAGGTATTATTAAATTCCGATCATGTTATGATAGATGGAGAACACAAGTATATGGATTTACTCAAAATATAAATGTCATTAATCAAATACTCACTGGAAATGACCTAGGTGGAACAAGTCCAGATAGATGTAAAGTTGTGGGTAAGAAAAACAGATTTTTAGTGATTAAAAAGAGGTTTATTGAATTTCTTTTAATTTGTTACTTATTTGTGATTATAATCTTCACACCATCATCGTCATTATTGCAGCAAATGACTGTTCTTCTCTATGTTTGTTTGTGTCTCATAAAAAAAATTTCTTTCAATTTTTAATGATTTGACTAAGAAATAAGTTATTTTTTCGATCATGACATGGCGTTAAAAATATGTATTTGATCGATGTCTCATTTATCTTTTCTGATTAAAATAAGATAAACATAAAAAAACAAATTCTAAGATATCGTTAAAGAAATAATTTCTTTTTTTCATTAAATTTATATAAATTTTTACATTATGTCCCTAGTCTACATACATTTTTTTATGAAAATGTTTGCTTCGACATAATTGGTGATCACTTTAGTATAAATATGAGTTTCTTCTTTCTTTCTTTCTCTTGTGATTACTGTTACTTTCGTTCGTATAGAGAGTAGAAACGAGCAATACAATTTCACATTATTTAGAAGCGTTGTATTTTTGTTCCAATGGTGTAGTTTATTAAAAAAATGTTAACTAAAATAGCATTTCCGACTGATTCAAGACTTTTGTACGAATATTTCACCTTCAGTTAACATACAACGTGTCTGTAAAAGCCTAAAAGGATCCAGGCCCATAAACTTTTCCTCACAAAATATGACGACATCATGGAAAAATTTAAAGCAGCAAAGGTCGAAAACATTGTTCAGAAAATAAACAAAGATTATCATAAGGAACTTGACCAATGATAAAAAAAAATTAATGAATACAAAATACGAAAATAATCATTCAAATATATATTTTTCGATGTAACATCTTTTTGCGACAGCACAGAATAATCTATCTAAAAGTTCATCAACAGCAATATTATCATATTCATAATGTAAATATAAAATATCAAGTCATTGTTGTATTCTTCTGTTGACAATGAACCTTGACTGAGAAAAAATCAAAGAAGCGACAATAACAATAAAATACATGAGCAGAAGAGTGATCCAACCAAATGAAAAGTGTTTAAAACATTGGAGTCCAGCGACCTCTTATCATCATAATTTTCAATTTTTTTTTACATTTTGACATACTGTTTCGAGAATTTTCCATCCATTCAATATGACTATTCTAACAGTGTTACTAAAGAATCAAATTACAGAAATTTGATCTGACACTTTATCTCCGATGAGATTTTACGAACATAATGTCAACTTAAATGTCGCAAGCAAGGCGAGTGCTTCTTTCTCGGGATATGAAGTTCGCCGATCCTATCACAAGCTACGCAAATCAATTTTTGAAACCTTAATATCTCGAGAAAGAAGCATAAGTTTTGGCTGCCATATTTATGTTTCTATCAAGCTCATAATAATTATTCTACGGTAACAAAACTTCAGATCGAAATTTTGTATTTTCATTCTTTGGAAATCTTTTGTCATAGATAGTAAATCTAGATGAGTGATCATATTTTTTAGACAAAAGTCTTTGGATTCTTATAAACAAAATGTAGTGCAGGAGCTTTCAATTACTTAGAGCGATTCTTTATAAATTAAGAGTAGGATATCATATATATTTAAGTAAATAAAATTTTCAAAATTTTACGACGTGAAAATTCTTTCTTGAAATTAGTCTGATGATAATCCAGATTAAGATTTTGCATGGAATTCAATATCGAATTTTTTATTATTTTAGGTGATGCCTTGCATGAAGCTCTCAACTTCCCATGGCGTGTTAACGTATGTAAAATATTTGCCGCTTTATAAGACATTTTTTGTTTTATATTTTCCAGAATGACGATCAGGTATTCAACGAAAAACTTGTTATTTTAATTACTGATGGTGCTCCGAATGGTCTTTTTACGACATTAAATGGTGCAGATCCTTGGATAATATCGAATAAGTTTATGAAAAAAGATATAACTTTAGTCGTTGTTGGTGTTGGAGAAGGTATTAATGAATGTGATGATTTTTACTGTGCATTAGCTCAGAATACAGGTAAAAACTGAATTTTCTCTGATTCTCATTCATAAATTTTTTTTTGTTAATTTTAGGTGGTCAATACATTCCGTTGGTCAATGCTGAACGTATTCTTCAAAATATTATTGAAACGGTTATTAATGAAGAAACAACATTTCATCAATGTCTTCGTCATGTCATGATTGAAGAAATTGAAAAAAATTCATCATTTAAATATTCATACATGAAAGATCGAGTTAATGATATGATCAAAGAATGTCAAACAATAGATGATATTCGACAATTATTTTTCAATCATCGTTTATCTACTCTTTCATAACATTACTAATTTAGCTACTTTTGATAAGTATATCTTTTAAGTCTTCAGACAGATCTCATGTTTTATTTTAGCTTTCAAAGTACTCAACAATCAATTTAACAGATTTTAGTTTTTCTTCGTCCATTTTAATGTTCTCCTAACAAGTCATTTATTTTTTCTTGTTTTTCGTTTTTCAAAAGCAATGTGTGTGTGTGTCTATTTGAATAAGAAATGAACGTAGATAAATACAGTGTTGATAAAAATCCAAACGAGTCAGAGATTTTGATTAGTGAAATATTTATGTTATTTTATTTCATAAAGTTGTTTTGTGTTTTAGTTCAAAACTATCCCATTTTTATCGAAGTTAAATATTCTTTATGATTTCTTTGTGTGAATGATATCACTTCATAAAAATTGTTACAACAATTTTCTTTATAATAATATCCTTGTGAGTTAATTTTCGATGCTTATTATGTGATTCGCAAATATTGCTATTGATTTTTTCTCATCTCCTTAATAAAATCCTTTATGTTTGTTTTTCTAATAATAAAAATTTTTCTTTAAATTTGTTCTATTCTATTTATTTTAGAATATTTATAATTTAAAATAGTTTGCATTGAAAATTTGGTTGATGCAATGGATGTACGATATATTTTGACGTCTGCATAAGAAGAGATACAATTATTAAAATAGCATTTCTCTAAATGATTTACTTGAATATAATGGACGACTCATAATAAATGGCCACACGTAGCATTTCATATTTTAGTGTCTAAGTGTGCTTTTTAAAAAAAAACAGAATGTACCACAAGATGTAGCTTGAAAAGTTCTACAATCTAAAAATTAAAACTGATTTTAATAGTGTACATGTTGTTTTCAAAATACGAGAAATTTTAAGCCACCAATTTTCGATGTTGTAAACAAAATCATCTATTGACCCGCAATGAATTTTTTTTCTTATTTTATCAATTAATGAATAGTAGTGTCTAACTTTATTCCATTGCATTGCATCTTGTTAGTAATAGTATCTCACACGTAATAATCCAGAAGATTGAGAGCAGGACTATGGGTGGTCATCTATGATTGTCCGTAAAATACATGAGATTTTCTTTATACCATGTCAGTAATTTCTAATGTATATGTGACATACTGTTGTCTTGTTGACAGATGCAGTTTTTTGCCTATGAGTCGCTTGTCTTCGATTTGTGTATGCCGAAGAACTAATTCAGTATAATTTTTATGTAATAGTGTTTTATCAAATTCAAATACAATAAGAGATGTAAGACCAATTTTAATTGTACCTAATCACATCATAATTCTTCTTTGAATACTCAGCCTTTTGGTGTATACTCCATTGTTTATCTACTTTTTGTCAATTTTCAGTATAAACATGTTCTAATGCGAAATGTTTTTGGTCATTGAACTGAATTATCTTCTATCTATGGGATAAAAAAGATGAATTAATCGTCCATCAAAATAATGATTATATTCGCAGCGTCGAAAATTGCTCGCACACAATTTTTCTTATTTTGAAAACAAAAGGTGCACTATCAGAATAAATTTTACTTTGCAGGTTGTAGATATTTTCATGCTGCATCTTACAGTGCATTTTGTTTCTTTTTAAATAAAACACATTTAGAGATTAAAATCTGAAATCCAAAGTGCAGCCATTTATTATGGGTCACTCGTTATTTGACATAGTTGATAAGGTGATTAGATTTGTCTTGAATAGATAAATTGAAGTACATTCGAACACTAGAAAAGAAAGTGCCTTTAAGATCACTGGCAAAAAGTTTAGAAGTGATATTTATATTGTCAATAGCTGAATGTATAATTCCGCATTTTCTGATAACATATAGTTAATGTTGTTCTTTTCGTATTATATCTCTTATATCTCCAATGTCTCCAATACCTCCTCTACATCTTAAGTCTATATATCTTGTATATCTGCTGCATTTACTTTGTTAGTACTTGATTGAATTTCTAGGAAGCGCTGAAAAACATCTAATCGAATTTCGAGAAACTCTGGAGATTTGAACTTCTTGGACGCGAGAACCTTTTGACCTAACTTTAAAAAGAATCGTTATCTTCTCAAAAACAGTTTTCCTTGATGAAAGATTCAAATCTAGAATTTCGTCATAATTCGGCTACTGAGTAACTGGTAAAGTAGCAGCCTGTATAGTGGTAACTTCTTACCTCTAACAAAACTCAATATCGACCAATTCCAGGCGAATACGAGGTCAGTTACAGTCACTACCAGACCAATTTGAACCAGTTCTAGCCCGATTCAGATCAATTTCAAGAATTGGATTTGAGCATTCCTAGTTGATTAGCTCTGTCGAAAACTATTAGTTTCACACTTTGATTACAATTAAAGTTATGATTATATTTTCTTCAAGAATGAATGCTTGATTTTCAAGGGCATGTCAAATATTCAGTGAGAAAAGAGAACAAAATGAATAAGGTGGAGTAACCGGTAGAATATTATTACTTGAGTTCTGAATAACAATAAGATGGTTACATTGTTACATCGTTCCAATCGTTCTATCAATTGAGTTCCTACAGGTTCTTCATCTTACACTTCTTGTAACAAGACACATAAGTCGAAAAATAGAACGAATAATGAATGAATTGTTTTCAAAGCTGTTTAAGCATCACTTTTCTAATCGGCCATCATGCGCAAACGAATGTTTTGAATGTAGATTGCAACAGCCAAGACACTATTTCTTCTTTCTGCTAACGTTGTTCTTCCTTTTTTTACCTTGATGATGCGATGCATACCAGCAATCTTTTTCTCTTTATTATGTTCAATATACCCTCTAGTCATCTTATGAATGTATACGGCTTATTCGTATGTTTGTTAATTCAATCATCATTTAAATCACTTTTATTCCCTTTTTGACCATGACTTATCCTTTTTTTTTTATCATCATCGCTGTTGAATATAGTAAGGGTATGGTTGTGATCGAAGACATCAAGAAAAACCACATCCACACTTCATATTTATTTTATTTACCATGAAGACTAGCGATACTGAAATGCTCAGCAGTAAAGCATCGTTTAGATCTAGAAAGAATTGCTTGTTGTGTCGAAAGGAGAACAGGTTCAAGAGTACACAAGATTGAAGATGAAAAACGAGCTTCCTATGCGAGAGAAGCGAACGGATAGGGACGAAGCAGGTATCACAGAAAGTGACTGTTCTTAGCAACTAATGAACGAGCATCGGGTGTCATTTCACCGATGGGATGCTCAAGAAAGAGTATTGGAAATAAGGTTCATTCTGATCTATCCTGATGTCAATATCCACTAATTCTAACCGATCTCAATTTTAGTCCTAAAGAATTCTATTTAGTTGGAAATGCAATTCCAACCTATTTCAACCGATGTCACGAAAGGGAATCGATGGTATAGGAATTCAAATTGTAACGGATGAAACACAACCTACACGCATAGCAACACCTTAAACTCCAATCACATCTAATGATACGGTAGAAACTTTTATTTCTTGTCGAGAAGGTGAACTAAGCCGGATTAGTTCTATGACGCACTCTGCTTTATTAAGATTATGCATGAATTTGATCAAATATTTCAATAAAACGTTCTTATTGTATGTTTCATCAGAATGTCAATAAGAGTTAGTTCAAGTAGCATGATAAATGACCCGTTCCATCGTGTTGTCAAAATTGAGACCGGTTGTTGCACCACAGCGCCAGCCTCCACTCCACTGATCTGTATGCCAGCAAAGTCTATAGGCAGCATTAGTACTTCCTGTATCACAACTGCCACGTGCTACCGTATCGTTATCGTTAGCAAAGCCCCACGAATAGTTATCGGAGTAGTACCAACCGACACCATTAGCTACATTTGTGCAACTACTATATGTGCTACAATTGTACAAGACATCAGCACGAAGTCCCATGGCAGCCACAGTCAGGTTAGTATTGCCTTTCGGACGACAACCAAGCAAGAGCTTGGCCTTATTACACGTATTAAGGACCGAGGTTAGAGTAGTTGTATTAAGGAAGACATCATAAGTGCCATTGTAACATTGAGACCATCCATATGGCAATGATACTGGATTCAAATTGAGTTGAACACCGTACAACGAGAGAGCACCTATGCAACATGTAAAGAGGTTCATTTCTGAATTCAAAAGGAAAGGAACTTAGCGAGGATATTATTGCAAATATCATATGTGGAGATGGATATCAAATAACTTATTCAAATATGTATAACGGAATCAGCCGATTTAGAGTTTACTCAGAGGTATTTAGATGCAAAATACTATCAGTTTCCCTCAAAATGACATATTCCATTGATATGTACCACTCTAAGTTCTCGACAATGGATTTTTCCACATGAAAACTATCTTAATACTTGGCTCAACTGTTCTTATAGTACTGATAGAAGAATCCTGTAGAACTCAGCGGCTCTCCTTCAATCGAAAAGGCCACGCATATTACTCTGTGAAGCAGCTCACGATACATTGAATGGTTCGTAGGAAATATTATTTTCATGAAGCTCTGAAGTTATGCAACATTATAGCATTTTGGAGATCATAACCACCCTACATTCGCATACTAATCCATGCAAAGTTATTCTCTAAATTTCACTTCAACTGAGTTGTTTATTACTCTTGAATTCTGTATAATTAATCATTCATATAATTACTGCCTTTTTACCGAACACTGATCTCTTTGCTCATCGTACTGCGAATTTCTATTTAGGGTCCCTTCAGTGTAGAGGATGTTGTGATGCAGAACACAATGATGCACATGTGCAATTACATAAAAAATTGCGCATAATCTAGCTTGATGACTTTTGAATTCTAGAGAGTTCTAAACTATTGGTGGCCATGGCAAAACTACTGCATTACTACTCCCGAAAGACCTAATTTTTTCTTGCAAACGACATGCTAGAAGCCCAGTTCTCGAACTTTTGATTTCTAGCTAAGATGATTTTCATCTAGTAAAAAGCATGACGTGAGTGTGAGATGATGCAGGCGTTGCGTTTGAATGTGTGCACAGATCACTGTGCTTGAGTCTAGGGAGAAGTCCAACATCCACCCCCACAACCAAGTGACCCGCTCAGTAGTCGCTACTATTCTATTTCATAATCAAGCTCGGTCTATGCTCTAGCTATATTGAAACAAATGGAAATAGTTGTTTTTTTCTCTCTCAAAACAATGTTGAGATATAGAGTGAAATTGACCAGATTTTGTTTTGTTTATCTCGACTCGATCATACAAGGGGGAAAAAGCGGATCCTCGGATCCTTGGATCCTCTTGGATCCTTTTGGATCCTCTTGGATCCTCTTGGGTCCTCTTGGATCCTCTTGGATCCTTTTGGATCCTCTTGGATCCTCTTGGATCCTTTTGGATCCTCTTGGATCCTTTGAGATCCTCTTGGGATCCAAAAGGATCCAAGAGGATCTCAAAGGATCCAAGAGGATCCAAAAGGATCCAGAGGATCCAAGGATCTGAGGATCCGCTTTTTCCCCCTTGCGATCATATGTTTCGGTTGTAGTCAAAACAACTAGATCCGTGATAACAACTGGTTTTTACCATTTCAAGGTTTAACGCTCTTCTAGCAATACTGAGGAAATTTTGAACTCTTAGTCGAGACAAGACAAATGTGCAGGCTAGTTTTCATGGAACCACATATAATAGGAAAAAATGTTTAAGTACTGCTTGAAGTGAAGACAGTATTTTCAGTGATACAGTGTTGCCACTGGATCCAAAATAGCAGCAAAATAATTGCCGTACCGAGCTCTATCGATGCATGTTTGTTGCAGAATGGTGGAGCAAAGGATTCAGACGACCAATTTACGATCGTCTGAATGGAGAAAATTGTCTACTGCTATTTTCTATCAAATGAGATACTTGTTAACAGACTGAACTTCGTTTGCTGTATTCATATGCTTGAATGGCTTAAGAAAATATGGGTTGAGCCGATTCATGGTTTCATCCTACCATTTCTCATCTTTTAAATCAATTATCTGTGAAGAGATGAAAAGAACCATCACTTAAAGCTCTTATGTCTTACTGATTGACGTAGATGTTGTTGTGGTTATTGGTCTGGTAGATGTTGTTGTGGTTGCTGATGCCGTTGACATTCTGGTTGTGGAAGCTTAATGGAAGAAGTAAAACAATACAGTGATGTCATTGTCTGCGTGAAAAAGACCTCTGTCAGATCGAAGCGTGTTGGTTGACACTATTTCGAAACTTCGACATATTTTTTAGCATTCTAAGATTTTCAGTGAGTCAATAAGTGTTTGTCCTGAAGAGTAGGATGTTGCAGCGCAAATGTAAAAGACGCTCACCTAAACTGAAATTGTTTATGGACACAGAATACTGATGGTCGTGAGTTCCCCCACAGAAGGCAACCAGTGATTGTGGCTGTGCCTGAGAGTAGTCATGGGAGAAATCTGCATCCACATCCGCAATGGCCTATTGAAACCCCACAAATCCCTCCAGAGAGGCCCTCACTGAGATTCACAGTCACAGCCACCCACTCTCAAAAGCTGCTAAAATTTTGTTACGCGATTGCCCAACAACTTCTATCGTGTCACAATCTTACTCTATATTACTTTTAAAGTTTAGTATGGGACTGTAGGACGAACAATGATCTATGTGAATATCTCCTAAGACACATTCTCTCGTACTTAACACGAGAAGTCGCCAAGTCGTGTCAGATTCCTATTATAATTACTTCCATCTAAAATGCCATAGTCATTTGCGAAAGAGCATTTCATAAAAACAACACAGTTCAAGAACGAGTACTAATCATGTTTTGATCTAGCTTTGATCACCCTCAATATCAGTCTTCAAGTGTGCACGTTATCAAGTATCCTGTAGAACATGCATGTCCGAAACGGCATAGCAGAAGAATGGGTCTATCATTCGTGTTGGTATTGCAATTTAGAAACTTACTTGCAGGGATAGTTGATATGTTTGAACTCAACGGAGGGCACCTTTGAAGAGAGGCACGTTCAATAGGATAGCATACAGGAACTTTGCACCGAGTATTATTAACGCAAACAGTATTGGGCATTGAACACGTCATATTGTCTCTTTCGCACAAAGTCAAATTTTGACAAGATATGACAGTATCGGCGCACATCCCACCTGCGGTCATTGTCATCAACAAGCATTGGCAGTCTGCGTTGGTCGAGCAAGGTACTGATTTCGCTTGGCACTCTTCCGATGGACAACATCCACAAGTAGTACGTGTAACATTTGTCGTGTCTTGACCTAGAATGAGTTTTGTAAAAAAACCAATGTCGAGTAAGGCTACTGAAAATCATTACTAAAGACAACGATTTGCATTGAATGAAATCTTTCAGAAAAGAAATAGATGCGCTCGAAAAGACTGTTTTTTGTACTCCTATCAGATTCTTATTTACACATTAGGATCAAATTATTTTCTCTTACCTTCAGCCATATAGACAAAAAATCTAGAAACGCATTCATATCAGATCATTAGATTAGTATGATACAATTACTTACATAGCTAAGACTATCATATTCCAAAATCGTTTGACTGTATTCATTTTTAAAAACGTCGCGTGTTCGAAAGACTATTGGCTTTTAAAGACGATGCTGTCTTCTGTCAGTCTCGATTATACAAGTCAATGGAGAGCAAAACTGAATGTCAATCGTATGTATTTATATGCATCCGTACGCGCTAGCAGCCATGTTAGAATGGCACAATGTACATGATGCCAGTCTTATTAAACGATATTTTTGCTTCTAGCCTCACTTGTAGAGCATGTGCATATGAGAGTGAACAAATGAATGTTGAAAATAAGTATAAGAGCTTTCAAAAAGTTACTGTGCAAGCATAATCACAAAAAAATAATAATAACGATGATAGAAAATCATCTTTGTATCGCCACAAGCAGTATGAGAAGAAACATTTGCTTTTCACATGATTTAGCAGCCTCAATAGGTTATATTTTTGTGCGTCGTGCATTGAAGTAGCAAGATCAGGTTATAGCTTAAATCAGGAAGCGAAGCAAATAGCATGCGTACGAGAGCATATATTCTTTCTTTTTAGCATAAATTTTATTTATCTAATTGCAGTACGCTCAAATGACTCCTTTCACTAGCACAGAAAAAAGTCGTAAACAAAACTGAGTATGTAGACTTCAATAGTTGTTTTTTGCCATTTTCAAAAACATCATAGAACAAATACTCAAATAAATTAGTGCTGTTTCGATACGCCTTAATGGCAATACAGTAGGATCCTTGATGCTTCCGAAAAAGCAACGTTTTGAGACATGTTTGCTGGCATTAATCAACCAATAATGCTAAGTTGGGCAGTTGAAACATCCTTAAAATGTTTTGACGATGTCATTTCTCAAAGTATTTTGCAAGAATAAGCTTCCGTTATTGTAGACTTTGAATGAGTATATATTCTCATCTACTTAGTGGATTGAAGGCGAACACTATCATTCGAGTTACAACAATTAGTTCGGCGCGGAGTTTCGTCCTTGCTCGATAGTCAAAGTTCAATGATTGAATTGATCTTTCATGGCAGGGAAGTCGAGAAAATGAATCAAAATTATTTTAAAACATCAAGTGAAAATTACATGCATCAATCTGTGCTTCTCTATGAACTAAAGGAAGAGCACAGCTTAATACTGGGTACCCAAGCAGTCGGAAATTTCCGAAAACGTATGTAAATACACAAAAAAACTGGATGTTTTCGGATGTCGATCGCGGTTCCAGACGATCAGTAGAAAAGCAATTGAGAAAAGGTGTGAAAACGACTGGTTTTTCAACATTCAACTTTTTTCGTCACATTTTCACTGATCTCGGAGCCAAAAATTCCCGAATACAGATATGAATGCTTAAAAAGTTGACTTCTTTAAGCGTTTACACGCATGCAGAATGTAGTGAATGAAAACGTTCAAAAAATTCACGCCTTGTGCGTGTGAACGGGTGCAAACAATACGAATACAAAATGTGTACCTATACATGCTTAAAATTGACACTTTTTAGCGATTTTTACGATCACTTCCCCAGACACTCGTTTAAATTCCCAAAAGGAGTGAGTGTGGGCTGTGACTTTGGCTGAGTCTGAAAATTTTTTAACAAGTACCTACACCCATCCTATATCTCGTACGTTCCCAATGACTTTTGTATCTCCAATATCTCCTATTTTTATTAATTTGTTTCATTCATGAGTACTATAAATGAGCTGTTAAACAGTATATTGAATTTTGAAATTGACAAAACTAACTCTATGTATCAGACTCCTTTGTTAAAAACACTTCAATAATTCTTGAAGAAATGGATAAAAATCTAAATTAATATGAAATTTTTATATTCATTGGAAAAATGTATTTCTAAGTGATGTTCTTATTAACTGATACATTATAGGCAAAATATCCAATGTTGAAATGAAACTGGCGCTACAATAACTTGTGACCAATAGGTTTTCCAGTAGTTAATCAAAGAATTATTAGTCAACGTTTGAAGTTATGTTGCCGTCAAGCCCTCAAGCTCAAATAACACTATCGAATAGATAATGAGCAGTCAAAAAAGCGACTCGCTAAGAAAGGTTTATCTTAAAACCAGTTCCATTCTTCCCGTCCATAATTCACTTACTCGATTATATAATGCTCGACGTAAATTGACTTGTATAGATAAATTGTTGCAATATAATAGTAATAGATGAGTACTACATGTTTCATATATTTGACGCTAATTTTCCTAATATTGTCTGCCACTTACCGTATAAAAATAAAATAAGTGCGATTTAGGATCGAATCAGATGTGAATAGCAAGTGAATTCTATGTTGCTTAGTTCATGGCTATATTTAATAAATGCACAAATAGTTTGACAGGCTACGATAACTACAATATTAAAAGCAAACAAATTGAATTGAATATGTAGAGTAATTTAAATGATAAAATGAAAAATTTTAACGTCTTCGGCAATAAATTCTTACATGAGAGAACATCTAGGTTACATTTTTTTAACTGTTACAATGCGTTCATTCCTATTTCTATTATGAACTGGAGGAAAAAATACAACGAGTTCACTATTGATGTTTAATTTCTAGATTTTATTAGTATACAAAAATGAATGAAATGAAAAAAAAAACATATTCATAAAAGAGTATCAAGTAATAAACTCTTGTCATTGATAAAACAAAACTATAAAATAATTTTTTTCTAGCTTGTTTACTTAATGTACCAAATTGATTATTCATACATTGTTTCTCTATAGCACAAATACTAAAGTAGAAATTTCTTCATCTGCCATTGGTAACAAATGACAATCAATAATTTAGTATCAGATGACTTTTATGAATATTGTATTGTCAGTTATTTTGTTTCTAAAATTTAACCAAAATCAACATTTTCATCAAGTATTACGTTTAACTTTTCATGAGTATCATTCGTCATAATTTCGTCATCTTCATCAATTAATACTGGATTAAATGCAGTAGCACCTTTTGAAATGAATGTTGCAGCAAACATTAATATAAAAATAATTGTTACTTGTACACCAGCCGTATAAATAAGTGCCAAATGAACAGTTCCACTTTTATTATAAACATAATCAATATGTTTACCAAGAACAGGATTTGGTATTGAATATATAACAATATATATTGAATAAAGAAATGACATAACAGCTCCGAATGGTGATACATTTTTATGTTTTGATTCAAGACGTGTTAAAGATGATTGAATATATGCATCAAGAGAAATATCACCGATAGCTGAAAAAAATCCGATTGATATCAATGATGCTGCTATAATCCAAGCATATTTAATTTCATCAGGAGGTGGATAATAAAATGGAATATACCAAATAATCAATAACATTATTGCATCGAATCGTACTGGTAATATCGGACTTTTAATAATATCATTAAAACAGAATACAAATAAAGCGCCAAGTAATTCTCCAAGATTCGAACCACTAACAAGGATTGGTGACCAATCAGAATGGCTTAAATAACGCCTTGGAACTTGTGGAGCAAGACTATTTTCAACATACCGATGTGAATAAATTGCTAATGGATATACAATAAATAACCAAATAAATTTTCGACTTGTGAAAACTATTTTAGCACCAATATAAACTGATTGAATAAACAACACAAGTGGTTCTGTAATTCCTTTAGAAAAACTTGATTTCGATTGTATTACATATGGTACAAGCTCACATTTGACATGGTTTTCTTTTTCAGGAACTAAATGAATCAATAACCAAATCAATCCTGATATTGTGAATAAAATAGGTGTTATAATAAATGCATAATTATTTCCTAATCAAGGAATTAATACAAGAGCAGTTATTAAAGCTTCACTAACACCTGATAATTCATAGAAAACATGAACTACAGCATTCATTTTTCGTAATTTAATCATACTGCCACCAACAATATTAGCTGGAATCACACGCCGAATCGATTCAACGATTCCAAGTGTTATACCAGCTAAACAATAAATCGGTATAATAGTATCAGTACAATAATTACCATACTAGTTAAAATCATTTTTATGTTCGGGTTTAAAACCTTTTGGTTTTATACGTCCACCAGTTGCAACATCAATAATCATAAAAATGGCTGTTGATAATGCCAAAATAAAAATTATACTTGAAAGAACAAATTGTATTCGCCAACGTTTAACAGGTGGACTTACTAGAACAGATCCTATATATTGAGATGCTTGATTAAGACCAATAAGTAATCCAACTTTTTCAAATGTACGTGTTGATGTATCAGCTTTATGTGCATCTTGGTCATAACGAGTTGTAGCAAGTGTTATTATACCCACGAAAAAAAATGTTTCATAAAAGTTGGCGTTTGAACGCCAACTTTTAGAAAACAAACGCTATTTTTGCGTTTAAACGCATCCTATTCTATTTTTAATGTGTTGAAACGTGTCCTTGTCAATTCACGACGCGTTGAAACGCGTCATTTTTATTTGCAACGCGTTTTTTCAACTTAAAACGTTAACTGAAAACAATGCTTGCACGCATGATAAGAAAACGCATTTTTCTCCCCAACGAACGCTGTCAAAACCATCATTGGAACGCGTTTAATATTATGCATTCGAACGCGTTTTTTTTGACATGTATTTAAATACGTTTTGTAAGGAAAAAACGAAATCTTCTTAAACAAACGCGCTATAACGCGTTGAAACGCTATCTTTTTAATGCGTCTTTCTTACAGAAAACGGATATTCTAGAGATGCGTTGAAACGAAAGATTAAATTTATGTGGTTTCAGTAAGAACTCGATTGCATAGAATAACAATCTATTTCAGTTAGAACATATGTCAAATGACATCAAATGCAAACGCGTGTGAGTCAGATTTTACTATTCATTACATCAACTCGTTTATATATAATAAAAGAGCATATATTCGAATTGCGTTCAATGAGCAGATATATATTTAAAAAAAATAATAACTGTAGATGAACAAAAGTATTTTCTTTAGCTTGACTCAGTCAACGTTGGATAACGAATAAAAATAAATTGTTTTTCAAATTGATAGTAAGATACTTTTTCAATAACATCGTTTGCATTAATGTGGATATGATGATCAAAATTGATTGTTCCATATTCAACATTATCGCACAATATTTTTTGTGTGTTCAAATTTAACAATACTTGATCTTTTTTATTGTTACACAAAGGAAGAACTTGAAATAATAAATTATTTGATGTTTGTATAAGTATAATCTTATTAATAATGCCAAAATAATGGTCGTTTTCGCGCCTATATAGAATGGTACAATCTTGAAATTGTTTTGATTTTGAATAATGCAAAGTTGTAAACGTGTCACCTTTTATAAAACATTTATTGTATAACAATAATTCTTTACCAAATTTCAACAACAGCTCCTCTCTGTCGTTATCACGAATGATTGATGTTGATTTTTGTACTTGGTAATTATTCGATACTATTGATGGATTTGATTTGCAATCTTGAAGATCAGATATAAATTGATATAATGGTGATGAAATACAGTTCATATCAAGTAAAAATTATGAATTTTTAATTAATTGTAAATTATTTTCAATTTCACGTGGTAGATGTTTTGTTCCATTAACTGTTGATGCAATGCGACCTAATATAAAGTAAATATAAGCCTTTTTATGACGAAAAAACTAAAATTACCGATCACAGATTCAAAGTTGAAGGTGCTATAATTGGTTAATGGACCATAGTCGGTGACTGTTTGATGAAAATGAATCACTGAATGATCTCATTGAGTTTCAGTAAAGTTATCTCTCTTGATTCACCTCCATGTAATGCAAATGATAACAATTGTAAATGTTTATAATATATAGGTTTTAAATATTTTTTAAAGATCGGATATGTTATTAATAGAAGAACTCGTGATTCATTCGCTTTTAATCGATAATATTTCATGATGCTTCGCGGTGCTCTTATCGTTGTTGATGGAAATCGAAAGCACTGCAAATCCGTTTCAATATCATTCATATGTTTACGAATTGACCACTGTTGCGTCCGATATTTTTGGTGAAACCATAACTTCATGAGTCGTTTCTAAAAAACTTAGTTTAATAAAACTTTAGGATGAATTCCTAAAAAGATATTCTTAAGCGAGACAAAGATAGCTTGATGATTCTATTCAACCTATAATGCAGATATAGATTGAGAAAGAGTACTCACAAAAGCTCCATGATATATTGTATGGAGCGTGCCCATTAAGAACGAATAACCATGAACAAAGTACGTCAAATCTGTCAAACTACATTTCCCAGAATAGCCTAATCGTAAATTTGATTCTTTTTCATCATTTAAACATTGTTTATTATGTTTTAGTTTTGATAGTTTATTGAGGATTAATTGACTTCGTGCTGTTGAACGTAACTGAGTTTGATTGTCTTCATTCGTCGGAAAAACACGAATTTTATGTGTATCTTTTCTTGATTTTTTGTCGGTTGACGATGATTTATTCTGTGCTGCGTGGTCATTTGAATTTGACAACACCATTTCGCCTAAAATGAATTCGAAGGTAATTGAACATCAGCATCTTTCAACATATATTAATAACATATATACCACGTAATTCACACCGAGAACAGTCATATTTAGCAATGGGTTCCGGTGCATTTTGAACTAAACTATTGGCAGGTTTATCGTTGCACGCTCCAATTAAATACATACGGATCAATTTATATTCATTCTCGGTTCCTTTGATTTGAAATAAATGTTGTTCTTCAAGTAATAATAATTGATTAACAATTGGTACCAGTAAAATCTGCATGATTGCGCGACTAGGTTTTTTATAGTACGAACAAATACCACCAACAACAACGTTCTGAATTTTAAATCGCTGTTTTCTTTTTATTTCGTTTATTGCACAGGTAATTATCCATAATGATTGTTCAGTATTATTGCCGACGGCAACACCGTCAACGTTCATCACTAAAGTCTTTATATAATTTGTTTGATTTGTTTCGACTTGACTAAACAATGAACGATAAATTTTACCATCGTATATATCATGCATAGAAGTATTAATAAAAGGTTTGTTCTCTGGTGTAAAACAATTGATATGTTGTTCTCGACGAAATATTTGTTGCAATTGATCACGAATATCAAAATAAATATAATTATAAGGATTAGTTGCATATTTCTCGTGATCCTCACAATCAATATGTGAACAACTTGTTTTTGAAAATGAAACACGTTCATATTTTTGACAGATAATCATTGATGAGGTTCCTATCGAAGATAATGTACATGGTGTTGATGTACTTTTTGTATTAATTAATTTACGAATATGATAGATGGTACATTTTGTACTTTTAATACAATTAGCAATTTTCGAATATCATTTAAACATTCAAATGTTAAATTATGTTTTGTTTTTAAAGTTAATCAACAAACAGATATATCTGTCTTATCATAATCTCGCTGAAATTGGTCACTAAACATTTCATTTCTAGAATAAAAAAAAGTATTGAGTCCAAGAAATTTTTTCTTGTATAATAGCTTAAGTGTAGCTTATACTTTTGTTCATTATCATTTCCATCTCCTTCACCAACCACATCTGTTTCAATTTCATCCAAACTTTCTTCATCATCTGTTGAATCTAAAGTGTCTGTCACTTTATCAGTTCTTCATCTGAATCTAATGTATTTTTTTCTAAATCATAACATGTTTCGCTGATCAATGTATCATAAAATGTATTATCATGATTGAATAAGAGAGAACATTGACCTGTATCATTAGTCTTGTACAAATCCTCTTCGTTCATATGATCACGATCTGCAAATTCCAATTGATTTAAATTATCAACACCATCTACAGAATTAAGCTGACTTCTAAACAGCAAGAAATACAAGCATAATATCCTAACATAATACATCAATAAGTATAAAGATAAAAAACCTACTGTTGACTCATGAACTGCCGATATTGTTTTCTTCTTTTTTCATTAATTTGTTGTCTGTTTTTGTGATACCATTTTAGTTTGGCTGCCCTCAGGTCAGACATCTAAATAAGAAAAATCTTATTTTATTACGACAAATAATTGTTAGTGGCTAATACAGTAAATCAATCGTTAAGCATGCAGATCTAGAAATCAATAGTTAAATTTTTTTAAACAACTCCTGTTGTACGGCAATTTTATTTTTATCTTTTGACAGTTGTTTTGCAATCTAGTACACTAACTATCTAATTACTGATTGCTATAGGAAAAAAATGTTTTTGCTAACTAAGATATTATATTTAACGTAATACGGTAGACATATCTGTTCATTGTAAATCATCTGGATGGCATCATGCATTGTATTTATCCACTCGCAAACACTATCATTTGTTGGAATCACTACAAAAGTTAAGATCAGAAAAACATTAGTAGAAAACTAATAATGATTGAAAAGTGTTATAACTCACACATCGATACATCACTCAATTCCGAATATCGTTTTTCTAATGCTAAATATTTATCTTTCCATTTATCACGATCTTCAGTAACTTCATTTAATTGAACTGTTAAATCTAATAATAAATCCATTCTATTTTGTTTTTTATTTGACGTCGTTGTGACACTATTTGTGTTTATCGCTGATGATGTAGGTTCAGATGCAGCAGCAGTAATATCAATTGATGATGTTAATGAAGAAGCAGTTACCGTTACATCCTGACTATGGTTTATCGGTATTAAATGAGTTAGAGAAGATTTGATCTTTGGTGATAATGTATGAAGTGATGAGTGAGTATTGGGTTTATCTTGATTAAAATCAAAAGAAATACAAGAATCTGTTCCTTCAGAAATATTTGATTTTTTATATTGATTCATTTCTTTTTGTGTTGGTTCTGGTACTCTCGTTGTAGTTAATAAAGGAGTATCATCAAGACTATCATCATAATCAAAATTCATTTTGTTTATCACGTTGATATTTAATAATATTTAATTCATTCAAACATTCTTGTTGTGAACCTAGAAAATATAGAACAGCACAAGTCCACTTTTCTAGTTATTGATCTCTTCGCTTACCAACGCAGAACAAAATTGCAGAAGTTGATTTTTCATCATTCATTTTGACTAAAACATTTGAACCTAATTTTATTTTCCCTTATTCGTTTAGGTTAATTAAATCATTGTAATTGACAATCAATAGTTTCTTATCCAATAATTATTCAACTAATGCAAATTTTTCATCATTTTCTTTAGTTTGATCTTTTTCACATAACAATACACTTTGTTGGCGAGTCATTGGTCTAGTTTTTGTTGTATTTTGACCTCGTACTTGAGAATTACCACCACCACGTCGTACTGTCTTTTTTCCACGATACATTGTTCCTCGACGTTCAACCTAGAAATGAAAAGCAGAAAATTTTTATTCTAATTAGAGCAACAGGCGAAGAGCAGACAGATATTTCTATAGATATGGAGCGTTTCAGGTTGACGTACGAAAGACCATATATAATATTCCGGTCATAACCCTGATAGACTTATTTACAAAGCGGTTATATATATATATATATCATTGAATCTTTCTACATCTTACACAAGATTGCTTATACTTGAGTATAAAAGATTAACTCTACGTTCTTTTCGTATAACAGTGGTTAAATCGAAAAAGAATACAGTGATAGTGCCAATATGCCTATCACCTTTTCGCGTGGTGTCATAATCCTGTTACACCCGGTATCCTCATTTGCTTTTAATGTAGTCTCCGGGTATTGACATTTAAACTATAGCTATATGTTATAAAGTTGAGGAATTTGAGTGAATTTGGGGTATTACCCGAAGTGTAGTGACTTCTAAACTATAGCTATATATTTTAAAGTTGAGGAATTTGAGTGAATTTGGGGTATTACCCTTAGGGTAATGACTTCTAAACTGTAACTACATATTCTAAAGTTGAGGAATTTGAGTGAATTTGGGGGAACGAGGTCGCCCAGGCAGGGAACAAAATGGTAAAATGGCATTAAAATGCTTAAAAATATACATAATTATAATGATGTAAAACGGTCACAATAAATGGCTGAAAATGCTATTATGTGATGCATTAAAATGATTAATCCTGATTAAGTAAAAATGGTTAAAAAAGATAACAAAATAATGTGAACAACACAAATCATTTTTTCGCATTATTCCTGACCTATTTTGTTGATAGAAAAATTATCGATAAATTTGAGATGGTTAAATACTGTTCGACAAATTTATTTCAATTTTAATTATTTATTACAATTTAAGTGACGCTTCTTTCTTCTTCGAAGATGATCTTTTCAATGTATCATAAAAATCGTACAAATAAATTAATCACGAAAACAAAACAAAATGGAAGAAAAATAGAACAGGCTATATATTTCTTTTAGTCTAATTTCGTGGTGGTACCTAAAAGATTCACGCCTACCTGGTCGGTGTTATAACCGTCTTGGTTTCTGTACCACTATGAAATTGGATTGAATGAAATATATAACCTGTTCTATTTTTCTTTCATTTTGTTTTGTTTTTATGATTAATTTATTTGTACGATTTTTATGATACATTGAAAAGATTATCTTCGAAGAAAAAAGCGTCACTTAAATTGTAATAAATAATTAAAAATTGAAATAAACTTGTCGAACAGTATTTAACTATCTCAAATTTATTATTGCTGACCTTTTAGGCTAATTATTTATATTACTCTTTTTCTGTAAGAATCTGTATTATTCATACAAAAAAATCAGTTTAATCTTTTTTTAACGATTGAATCGTGCTGTAATTTTGTGTTTACTTCGACACTCTTAGCATACTAGAGTGATTGTGTGGAAGGTAAATACAGCAAAAATTCTAGGAAGTGATGTAAAATCAGAAAAATATTATAAGCTGATCCAAATGAATAACATAGCTATTTTTCTCACTTTAAATGGAACAATACTGAGGATTAGATCATGCACTTATATCATATATAGCACATGTCAATATTCAATGTAAACTAGCATGTTAGTCATAGAAATTTCTGTCTCAATATTATTTCTACTTAAATTAAATAAAAATTGAGTGTCGTTTATCTTGTTCAGTAAAACACAAAAGATTATGAGTGACGATCAATTGTCCTAGCACATTTTACGAATAATCTAAGATGTCTGAATAAATATCTTGCGCAGAGAAAAGATTCAGAAAAGTCTCATATATTACAAATGGAAAGATAGATTGCTTAGTTAGTACTATTTAAGTTCGTCAAAGGTGTTCCTGATCATGTCGAATATGAACACGACGATATGTTACAACTGACGTATCAATCCTTAAAATGAATTGGACTCGTTCTCTTTTCTTCCTTTTATAGTTATAGCATTGTTCTATGTTCTGAGACAAAGACTACATTGGACCAATAAAAACTAACCAATCAGATATAGTTGAAGATAGCGAACAGAATAGTAGTGAAATGAATAAGTAATTTTAAACAGATCGAATCGATATGATATTATTAGATATTTATATAATTTAATACATAATTCAAATAAAAAAATTCCGATCACTGTACGACAATACTTCTTCTGTATTCACACAGTATCTTTTCTTATCTATAAAAACTATGTAAGACAAGCTACAAATTTCGATTTTTCATTTATTTCTCAAAATATATATCTCTGATTCAACTACTATTTTCGGTACTTCTTCCGATCAACGACACCGCGGCACCCACACTCTTTGATACTCCCTCCGCTCTCTTTGATGTGTGTTGTAAGTCTAACCAATACGATGAAGGTGTCGTCGATCTGAAGAAGAACCCTATTTTCAACAATTGTCAAATGAAATGTGATAACAGCTTAATGAGAAAAAATTGTGATTGATCTAAAGGGTTACTTTGATCTAAACATTTAAAATAGCTTTACTTTAATTAAATTAAAAGTGCATATAGTCGCATATATATCAGTTACGCACTGTGTCTGAATACACTAACAGTAGTCAGTACACATGCACATCTTTCTCTCGATTTCTTGCTCTTAAGTACTGTTCTTCATAAAAACAATATGAATGTTAAAGGAAATAACAGAATCGTACAAGAAAGTAGATAGATTAAACCAAATTTATACTAGATATATATTTAAATATGCCATGAAAAGTCACTAATTACACGGTCAACGTCGCTATTCCTTCTCCGTTTCCACAAATGCTTTTGACGATTCGCTTTTCTTTGCGATTTATTAGACTATGGGTAATTCTATAAGGATGGAGAAGAAAATAAAACATGAGAATATTACGATCAGTACATGAATATATTTTTTAAAGAGAGTAGAGTAAGAAAAGAGGATACTGTATTATAGCCGGACCTGACGTGTCAATTAGCCATGCATACAAAAATGTGTATTATATTATTACAGAAAACACTGTAATAGTGCACACAAAATATTTAAATGATCGACTAGTACAGAAATATCGCTTTAGAAAGAACTTGATATATTTTTTCAATTAATGAAAAATTTTGTAAAAAGAAGTCAAATAAATCAATAAGTTTATAAAAATATTTCTAAGTATTCTTTATTATGAACGATATCATGTAAAATTCGAGAGCGTTTTTTACAATGTCATTTGAAAAACCAGCTTTGTGTAATTTTCTATAGATTTTTAGATTCATGTGAGGTAAATTATGCATCCAGCTTTTTTAAGAAGACTTCATCACATAAAATAAAATCTGCCTACTTCGATTTATGCGAACACTTTAGTCGAGCAAACAAAAATAACAACATGAATAATAAGGACCACACTTGATTTCAACAGAACATAATATGATTTAGTTGTTTACATCATAATGCGATTCACACTGCAAAAAAAGTAATTTTGTACCTAAATTCTAATCATTTAATTTCATTTTACCAGAGATATCTACTTTGGTTTTGTTGATATCAAATTTTAATTAAAGTTCAGTTTTTTTCCTGTGATATAAAGGAAATTTGACTTCTTAAATGATTAGGCGCTGATATTTCGATAGTTCTTTCGTACTATTTTAGCACCTTCGAATCCTAATTGTTTATTTTGAGAGAGAAGAAACAAGGTTAGGCTACTTGCCTAAAATATACAGCTTATTTAAAAAACAAATGAGATCTATCTTCTTTCGAAAAAAATGATGACACTGTTAATTACAGACATTCAATATTTATCGAAAAACTAATAAGTTTAGCAGTATTATAAACGGAAAGGTCCTTTTCGATCCGAGAATTGCAAGCCGACTATCAGTATCACTCAAAAAATAATTCTTCGGCTGTTATTAAGTGTAATTTCATCAAAGTTGCATACTTCAATCGACGTTTAAGCGGCTAAATTTAAAAGAATGATTTTGAGTATTTCACAAAAATACATTTCATAAGCAAACCTTAATAATCCACATAAATTTTTGAAGTTATAAACATTTTTGAAAAATCAGTTTAAAACTCCGAAAAACAGAGTCTTTAATTGTGAAATGGTCAAAATTATGCATTAAGGAATTATTATTCGTTTTAATGGCCATTTCACCATTATTTATTTAAAAAGACGCATTTTAATGGTCGAAATGGTCTAGCTACAAGTACTGAAGCATTTTAATGCCCATTTCTTCATTATTCACTTGACTGGGCGTTACCCCAAATTCACTCAAATTCCTCAATTTTAAAAACATGTAATTCATTTATGGAGTAAGGAAGTCATTACCCCTATGCGGAAGTTTCATCGTGTAAATGAATTCACTTTTAGTTGATTACTCTGTAGGGTATCCTGACATTTACTTCTCGATACCCAGTGTAATGGTATTATGACATCTATGACCTTTTCAGTCAACTTTAATACAACACAATCGTCTCTTTTTCTATTCAATACTGTCTTCTTGTATAGTCCGTCTGTGAATGTTGGATGTATTGCTCTTTATGAAACGAAGAACAGTAACCCGTTTAATATCTGTACAGTAGATTTAG